TCTCTACCGTCATGTTCCTTTAAGGGTAAACATCTCCTGCAGTTCCTTGAAACTTCTTATGTGAAGTTTCACAAGCCTTACTAATCCTTGCAAAGCACTGAGTGATCATTATCTGAGTGGCGTTTTTATAACATGGAGCTGTGCAGAGGAGACAAAGTTTAACAGCAACGAGAATTCCTATAATAAACAAAATGCTAGGTGTAAACTGGAGAATAGACCTGAACCAGGAGGCAATGCCTGGGGGCGGCCAGCTAAAGAGACCAAAGAACTAGGATGTCAGGAGGCCCTGCGTTTAACCATTCGGCTTTTGCCCGAATTCTGTCTTGTTCTGTCTCTACGTTCCCAGAGGTGTTGACCCAAGTACAACAAGAGGTATTTACAACAGTTATAAATGTTACCTATTACATCCCTGGAGGTTTGATTGGTTAGGCAAGAAATTCTAGACACTTAGCACAATGAATTAGAGGAGGAATGGTGGAGAGATTGGTAATTAAATGTATTAAAGGATTATCTAGGTTCATGGACAGAATGGGGCTTCTGATGACAAACTCAATAGTTAGAAAGATTTCCCTCTTTTGTAATAGATTGGGAGATGCGGCTAAGAGTATTGTCTTTCCAAGAAAGAGAGGGAGAAAATAAGGCAAGAAACAACAGCATGTAAAAGGTCTAGTCATCTGGGGAGAGCTGTCTGCCTCAGATGTCAGCTGCTTCTCTTTCTAGTCAAATTGATTTGGAGATCTCCAGTGTTTGTACAGGACCAGATGTCAGGTGGAAACTTCTTTAGCTGTGAGACGTGTCTCCAAGGTTCAGTGCCTTCTAGTTCTGCAGGAGTGTCAAGGGTCAGGAGCGCTTGGTGAGGTCCTTTCCACTGGGGCTCAAGGGCTGTCTTCCTCTGATGACGCACCCAGTCACCAGGCTCTAGACTGTGACCAACAGGATCCTTTAAATTGGAATCTGGGAAAGCTTTTTTAACCTGTTGATGATGGACTTGAGTATAAGACAGTAGAGACTTACAATAGCTGGTGGTACTCACATAAGACTACAGGGGATCCACAGAAGGTTGTGTACCCACAGACACTGATCTGCCAGGACCATCCCAAGTAGGGTCAGTTCATGTTTTCCAAAGAGGGCACTGCGAACAGTCAGTGCAACCAAAAGCAATACCTTAAGCCGGGGGAGTCCAGTCTACAAATATATAACAAACCTCAAAGACAATTAACAGGACTAGAATCCAACATCTCCAAAGGTGCAATATAATTTTTCTCTCCACAATTACCCTCATTTTTTACCAAAGATAATCACTGTAAAACTAATTTGTTTATATTAAAAACTTGGCCTGATTATTTATATAAGTGAAAATAAGAATACTCACCGAAAGTTTCTGAATTCTGGAGGGATCAGGTAGGGAGAAAAAGTAAATGTTTCATCTTTGTTCACAAAGGTATATCTTAGCAAATTGTTGATAGCTTAAGAGGAAAGATTTCTTTAAATCCAGTTCAGTTTTATGATCTGAAAGTTCATCAGAAACCTGTATTCTGGAGTAAGTGTCAGAGTCCTTTCCATGAATCTCTCTGAAGATGAAACATTTTTGCAAAAGCATCAGAGTAAAACAAAAACTGTCTACAGATGACAAAAGACTTAAAGTGGCATGGTTAAAGATCCGATTACAGTGCAACTGACAAGGAAATTTGGTTATTTCTATAACACATTTTAAGATAATGAGTAGAATTATACTAGGATATATCATATTTTTAGGAATTTTATATAATTTTTAGAACATTGATATTAATAACATTTACCCATGCAATATAACCTAAGAAGGTTTATCATCACTTATTTGACAATGCTTCCCATGCAATTTAACATACCAAATAAACCTAATTAGTTTAGTATCTCTCTCTTTATAGGAAGAGAGAACAAATTCTTTGAGAAGTCCCAGGGGCTTGCTGAAAATTCTCAAAGTTACTTTCAAGTCAAAAGAAAGCCTTTATTTAGGATTTGAATTTTGGGTAAGTTTGTCAAACATCAAAAGGTTTTAAAACACTTGGTCAAATAGAATCATAGGTCACTGTGAAACAATGCTTAGTTATCCATTTATCCAAAATGATAACAGAAGATATTAAAGACAATTCTAGAGAGTAAAACAGTTAAAAAAAAAAAAAAAAGAAAAGAACCTAGCTCTCTTAATAGAGACCTCAGCTTTTTGAACACAGGAAATTATTTTGACAAAACATAAAATTTCTGCCTTTTAGATAGACTTAGTCAAAGGTGAAGAAGAAAATCTTTCATAATATCCTTATCAAGAGCAGACTAAAAGCCTGAGAAAACTATCCTTTTAAGAGAGAGAAAACCAAACTCCAATTTTTGTACCAGCTTACTTCTGATGTTAAAACTCATTTACTTTATTAAATTCATTTCAATCTTATCCAACTTGACCATGCACAAAACTCTCTTCTCAGGGTTCCTCTTCCACAAACCTTCTACAACTTTCTTTTTTACATTCAGAATTGGTCCCATGCCTTCCCTCCTTCCTAGTACTTTTGGACACTTTACTTTCTTAACAAAATAAACAAACAAAAATATCTCCATTTCTTATACCTTCTTTACTGAAAACACACATCTTACTTTCCTTGTATACAGAGATGTTTCCCTTATTCTTTACATTAGCACGCTGTGGATTGGCAGACTTATAAATACTGTCTAGAAACATGTGCTTTCTCATAGAAAAGTTCTCAGTGTGGCACAAAACATGTTTGTTAATAAACTCAAGTATTTTTCTAGTTTCTTTGTAATGAGAAGCCAAAGGTAGATAAATCTATGTTTAGTAATTAATGTCTAATATTTTATCTTATGTGGAAATGACCTAGATACTCAATAAATTTTATTTTCCATCATTTAACTTAATTTAGCAAAACTCTAAGATTTCAAGTTATCAAAAGGTTTTGAAGTTATTTTTAAGTATATATACCATAAGGCATAATTCTTATTAAAAAGTTGACCCCAAAACTTTTTTCTTTCTTACATCTGTTTAGTTTAGTTGTTCCCAATAATTATGTTTACATTGCCTCCAAAAACTTCATGAGATACTAGGCAAAGTCAGCAATCAATGTTTTTGCTGCCAAATTTTGTAACATGAATTTGTTTGGCTTTTGGTAAACCTACGTAGAACAAAGTTTTATGTTTAATGCTTAAAACTCTAAAAGCAACAAACTGAAATTAGCTTTAATACCAAATGTTTTCCTAGATCATAGCATCCTGAAATTCATTTGGGTTAATTTTTATTATATTTAGAAATAATTTATATAAGCCCTTACTTTAAACCAGTTAAACAGACCTCTTTTAGAAATTGTACCATCCGGAGCCCTCAAGGAGTCAAATTCATAGGGACAGGAAGTGGATGGTGGTGCCAGGGGCTGGGGGTGGGGATGGGGGTGAGTGTTTAATGGGGACAGAGTTTCCGTTTGGGAAGATGAAAGAGTCCTGTGGATGGATGGTGGTGATGATTGCACAATGTGAAAGTACTTACTGCTTAAGTGCACAGAAGTGGGCACTTAAAAATGGTTAAGATGATAAATTTTATGTTATGTGTATTTAACCGCAATTTAAAAAACCTTTGAGTCAAGGTTCTGGCCCTGAGTCCCTGCTCTGTTGAGAGCCAGCTCTGGGATCAGATGGCCCAGGGTGTGGGGAGAGCAGGTGAACAAATCTTCTGGGAGAGTGGGACAGTTCCGGGTCAGGGGCCCTTGGGTCAGTGGGGCAGCCCATTGCCACCCACCCTCTGGGGATGGGAAGGACCCCGGGGCCCTGCAGGGAGCCGCAGAGCAGTGAGCTCACACCTCGGGCTCCGTCACCCCGCAGGCTGACCCCTACAGGCACCTGTTCTGTCCCAGGTGTGGGCAGAGTGTCTCCACAGAGCAGGGGCCCAGGCCACCCTTCCTCCCTGTGTTCTCCGCGCCCAGCCAGCGCCCACAGTCCCTATAGATGATTAGAGCGCAAAGCCACAGTGCCCATGGACACGCCTGGCCGTGCCCATCGTGTGCTGCTTGGACGAGGCCCCTCAAGGGCAGGGGTGTTCCAGGGCAGCCGCCTGCCGGGAGCAGGAGCTCGGAGGCCGTGGGCTTCCGGGTCAGGAGTCCCGGGCCCTCACACGTCCTGGTTCCCCTCCTTTCTCTCCGTGAGACCTTGGGCGAGTCATGACCCCTCTAGGCCCGTGTTTTCCTCTGGGACAAGGGGGCACTCGCACTGCTCTGTGGGATCGGGGCAAGGAGGGAAAGCAGCCTCGCCGCCATGGTGCCTGGCCATGCTGGTCTTGTCAGTAGTGGCTCCCATCACTCCAGAAGCAACCTTCACCTCCTTGCAAAGGTCTCCGCTTGGTCCCGACACTTTCTTCCTGGTGTGGCACTGCCTTGAGGAGATGGTCACTTCTGGCTGGGTCTCCTCCCCCGGCTGTGTGGGTGGGGGGCCTGGCCACCTCCACCTGGGCATAGAGACTTCTCTCTCCATGTCAGGTCCTTCAGTCGCTGACACAGCTGAGAACCAGACCCAGCCCGGCCCTGGGGGCTCTCAGCGTCCAGCCCCCTTCCAGCTGGGTCCCCCACTTGGCTGAGAGAGCAGGGGTGTGGGTGGGGGCTGGGTGACAAGGACAGGCCCCTGGAATGGGGATGTGGAAGGCGCCCTCCCCTTTGCCAGGCGTCCAGCCCCCAGAGGCTTTGCTCCTTCTGTCCTTATCTTCCCCGCCAGCTGCCTGCTGGGGTGGCAGGAGGCAGGGCAGCACTCGCTGGCCCCTTGAGGGACAGGACCTGAAGGCTCTCGGAGGGAAGGAGAGCTCAGGGTCACGTAGCCAGCCCCCGAGAGGTGAAGTGGGGGCCCCATCTGCTGCGGGGCCTCTCTGTTGTATCTGTCTCTGGGCCTGCACCAGGACGTCCCTCCCCAGGCCTCCAGGCCAGAGCCCAAGATGGGGCCGCGGGACCTCTGCTCACTGGCGCCGTCTCCCCTCTTAGCATCATCAGTTGGTGGGTCCGGTCCTTCAAGTACGTTTACGGCCTTCGCTTTGAGATAAACGGTCGCCAGAAGCTGGAAGTCGACCACCCCTGTGTCATCATTTCTAACCACCAGAGCATCCTGGACATGATGGGTAGGCTGGGGCCGAGAGGGTCTGGTGGGAGGGCTGGCCCTTCCCGGCCGCAAGCTTGGCCCAGGACACTGGCCTGGTCCCTGGGGAGGGAACGTGCAGGATGCTTCAGCAAGGTAGAGGCTGGGCCCTGATGAGCACAGCCAGGGGGCCCTGTGCCCTCCTTCAGCCATGGGCCTTGAGCTGCGTGACGAGGGACAGGGCTGCGTGTGCCTGACGCCAGGCACAGGGCTCTGCTGCTCCCCGACAGCCGGGAGCCCTTTAGAGCACCCTTCATTACAGGTGGGAAACTGAGGCTTGGAGGCCAAGTGACTTGCCCAGGGAGCCAGGGGGAAGGCGTGACTTGGCCCAGGCCTCTTGATGATCAAGGCACCTCTTTGGGGAGGTGGCCACCCAGCTCTGAGCTGCTTGCTCTCTCTCACTCTCTCTCTCCCCGCCTGGTGTCCGGTTACCACCCGCAGGCCTCATGGAGATCCTCCCCCAGCGCTGCGTGCAGATCGCCAAGCGGGAGCTGCTCTTTATGGGGCCCGTGGGCCTGATCATGTACCTCGGGGGCGTCTTCTTCATCAACCGGCAGCGCTCCAGTACCGCCATGACGGTGATGGCCGACGTGGGCGAGCGCATGGTCAGGGAGAACGTGAGTGCCCGGGGCCTGGGCCTCCATCGAGGGTGAAACAGCAGGTGTCCGAGCAGCCACACAGCTTCCTCTCAGCATCGTTGGTGCTCGTCTGTGGACTGCACGCAGAATGCTCAGGCCTCAGCTGTTAGCGGTGGTCTCTGCTGAGAAGTGGGCCTCCCCGGGGCGGCCCCAGGACTGTCGGGTGCAGCCCTGCCCAGCTGCCTCCTCTCTCTCCTGCAGCTCAAAGTGTGGATCTACCCCGAGGGCACGCGGAATGACAATGGGGACCTGCTACCTTTCAAGAAAGGTGCCTTCTACCTGGCGATCCAGGCCCAGGTGCGCCAGGGCCTCCCCCTCCTGGGGCAGCAGGGGGTGGGTAAGCGGGTCCAGGTTGGCTTGAGGCTGAAGATGACCTCCCGGCCAGGCGGGGGCCGCTGGTGCTCAGGGCCCGCCTCCCACGGGGCAGGGTCCCTGGTCCCTGGCCTGCTCGGAGCGCAGTCCTTGGGCCCCTTCCTCACTTAGCATTAAGGCTGACACCTGGTGAGGTCCAGCGACCAGCTGGAATAAGGGCCCTCCACACTGCACCTGTGCCTGGAGCTCGAGCACCCCCACCATGTAGGCGGCCAGGGGAGGGGCCCGCCAGAGGGAGGCGGGGCTGGTACAGAAGACGGAGGCTGCACGCCCGCTGGCTGAGCCTCCCAGGAACGCTGTGCTCAGTGCCCGTTCAGTCCCCCAGCACCCCTGGCTGGGGTGGGAGTGAGCAGTGGGCTGGACCAGCAGGCCTGCGGCGGGGCAGGGTCCGGCCCGGCCTGGAGATGGGCCTGGGCAGAGCCGGCTGTGAGCTCCGCTGCTGGGCTTTGTACTTTCCTGGTCCTTGGCCTCCGGGGGTGCAGTTATCCTGGAGGTATCCCGGGGTCTGGGGGTGACGCCAGGAGAGGCAGGGGGTGCATCCATTCACGGGGCAGGGTCTCCTGGGGGGTGAAGGGCGCCCTGTCCCACCCCTGGTACTGTGCTGGGGCAGTTCGTGTAGGGGAAGCCATCGTCTGGGGCTGGGGGAGGGGGCTTTCATCCTGCCCGTGGGGCTTGGGTGGCAGCTGGGCCGGGGTCTGCTTTGCTCCAGTCCTGCACCTGTGACAGGTGGCCTCTAGCGCCCCCTGGTGCCTGGCCCTCAGCAAGGCCAGGTGCGCCCTCCTTCCAGAGGCTCCCAGCTGACCCCATGGGGGTGCGGGAGCTGAGGAGCCGAGTGGAGGAGCCCCGAGCTGGGGGCGGGAGCCTGGTTCTGATCCCAGCCTGCCCAAGCAAGGCTCTCCCACCCTCGGCCTACAGCCCCTCTAGCCAGGAGGTGGGGGGGCACCCCTGCCAAGTGCCTGGGCTGATGTCACTTCCCTTTGCCGGTGGCATGGGGGAGGGGTGGTGGGGGAGGAGAGAGGAGATACTGAGGTGCCTTTGGTGGGGCTGCGGCAGCAGCCGCCTCAGCCACGGTTTCCTGTCATCTCCCCTCCCGCTCCTCCCCGGCTCCCCGCCGGGGCCTGCTAGGCTGTAGCCCCCCTGTGTTCTGAGCGCCCCCTAGTCCTCTCCTGGTGCCGGGGAGAGGCTCCCTGACCGCCTGGGTTAATGATTACCCTTAGGTGCTGTCTGTGACACTGGACTCACCATTGGACTTACCCTGGTGTCTTCCAGGGATACCAACAGGCCCTGCTCCCTCCCCTGGCTAGAGCGGCCCCCAGCCTCCCTGGGATGAGGGAGAGATGGGGAAGGGTGGGTGGGTGGCAAGAACTCAGTAACCTCCTCCAGCTAAACTGGACAGGACCCTGCCCCCTGGGTAACCAGAGGACCCAATGGGTGACACAGACGTGAATCAGATGGACATGTGCCAGCCCGGGAAGGCTTCCTGGAGGAGAGGATGCTTGAGTAAAGATGTGCAGGATGAGTTTCTGGAACTCTGGGCCCCCCAGGGCATGAAGGGTGTCCCAGGCCCAGGGGCCAGCGTGTGGAAGGGCCCTGAGGTGGGACAGTGTGGCCGTCCTGTAGTCACAGGGACTCCCGGGACCTCCTGGGTGCTGTGGGCAGCCCCCATATGGAGGCAGGCAGGTGGCAAGGCAGGGCTCCCCTGCGAGCTTGTCCTTGGGGATCAGGTGGGCCAGGGCGGCCCCGGGCTGTCCTCAGGCTGCCGCGTCTCCCTGTGCACAGGTGCCCGTGATCCCGGTGGTGTACTCCAGCTTCTCCTCCTTCTACAACTGCAGGATGAAGCTCTTCACCTCAGGTAGCGCCCCCCCACCTGCGCACACACAGCCCTGGCTGGTCCTCGGTCACTGCGACACCGGGCCCCCCATAGAATAGTTCCTGTTTGCGGGTGGTTGCTGTAGGCCAGACCCCTGCCACTCAGTGACCATTTGAGGAATGAATGAGTGAATGAAGAGAGGAGGGAATGAATGAATGAATCTAGAGTTCCAGCCAGGGGCTGTGAGGTGGGTGGTAGTGGTCCCATTTCCCAGATGAGGAAACTGAGGCTCCCAGAGGATTGGGAGACTTGAGGTGGGCGCTTCCTGTCCTGAGAGTGGGCTTCTGAGCCAGTGCGTCCAGGCCTGAATCCCAGGGGCAGCAGCCTGCCAGATATCCCCACACCCACTAACCATGAAGCTGGGGGCCTCTGCCTTTCCCTCCAGACCCTGCACGTGGGCGTTTGGTGCCCAGGTGGGAAGGTGGGGTCCAAGGCTGAAGGATAGCAGGTGGGGGAGCCAAGATGTCTCCCCCACATCTGAGACCCCGCAGCTGCCTAAACCATCCTGCAGGAGGGAAGTGGAACGGTGGGTGGGGGCTGCCCAGAGGGGCACTTTCTGGGGGAGACGTTCTGTGCCTTAGGTGGTGCTTATAGGGGCGTACACAGTTGTTCAAACCCGCTGAGTGCGTACTTAGGAGCTGTGTGTGTAATTGTGTCGATTATTCTCAATTAAACACCAACCCCCTGAGACCCAGGTGTCCAGGGAGGAGCCCATCCCAGCCTGGGCCCTGGGAAGGCTCTGCAGGGAAGGCCTGTCAGTAGCCGAGGAGGCAGGGAGGGGCTTCAGGTGGCCCTGAGGAGAGGAGAGGCCCCAGCTTGGGGACCTGGGCAGCAGGCATAGTGGGCCCCCAGCCACCCAGGCTGCTGACGCCACCCCACCCCCACAGGAACGGTCAAGGTGGAGGTGCTGGATGCTGTCCCCACCAGTGGCCTCACCGTCGCTGATGTACCCAAGCTCATGGACACCTGCCACCAGGCCATGAGGACCACCCTCTTCCACATATCCAAGATGCCCCAGGAGAATGGGGCCACTGCGGGGCCTGGTGCCCAGCCGGCCCAGTAGCCAAGGCCTGGAGTGGGACAGGACCTGGGGTGGGGTGGGCAGGGGCAGGACCTGGCTAGAGAATGGACAGAGGGGCCCCCTCCTCTGCCCCACCCGGCTGCCAAATATCACTGTGTCTCGTTCCCAAGGCTCCCCCGGCTTTCATTCAGGCCCCGGAAGCGGGGGACCTCTTCCTGTCACTGGCCTCAGATGCAAAGGAGAGTCGGCCAGAACCTCCCCCGGCTCTGAGAACGTGGCCTCGCCCACCTGAGCCTCCAGGATCCAGGTGTAGGAGCGGGCCTGGGGCCCCAGATGGGCTGACCCGGCTGAGCTGCACGGCCCCGGGACAGTGACCAGAGCTGAGGCCCTCCACGCTCCTGCCTGGGCCTTCGGGGTGCTGAGTGGGCTCTGGGGGCGAGCCACGGCCTGCATCAGGCTCTCAGGGAGAGGCGGGGCTCAGGGGGGCCGGGATGCCACGTCTTGTGCAACCTGGGCCTCAGGGAGCCGGAAAGCAGAGTCTGCTGCTCCCGCCGGCCTTGGGGAGCAAGTCTGCTGAATCGGTACCACTCGGTGATTGTTTTTTATAAACTAACTCTTGGAAGCGCCTGGTGAGTTGTGGTCACTCAGACGGTGGGCAGGGCTGCCTCAGGCTTCCGTCCTGGGACACAGGGCGATGAGGGCGGCACAGCCTGGGCAGCATGTGGAGGTCTTCAAGACTGCCTTTGCCTCCTCCTACACGGGGGCACAGTGTGGAAGTCCCCCCCCCCATCCTTTCCAGGGCTTGGCCCAGAGTCATCCTGGAACACTTTTTTCACTGGACGGGGATGTCCACCTAATTGGAGGTGGCAGCCGTGCCCGGGGTCTGGCAGGCACTGGGGAAGGAAGCAGAAGATTTGCTCCTTGGCCACTGGCTGGGGGTGGGGCCCCTTGTCACCAGGAGGAAGCTGTCTCTGAGGCCAGCTCCTGCCTCCTTTGGAGAGGGGAGACAAGACCCTACCTAGAAGGGCCCAGTGTGACTGGAGCCCCCCTCCCTGCCCCACGGCTGCCCTCCTCTCCCTCCCACTAGTCAGCACGTGGCAGTGGGCCTGGGGGAGGCTCCTGTGAGCTTCAGAATGCCCCCCACAATCCATCCATGGACACAGCAGCTCCTCAAGTCTCATTTTATTCTGACAGAAACCAGAGGTGGGTCCCCACACACACACTGCTCAGTGAGCGACCCCAGGCCCCGGGCTCTGGGCAGGAGCCCTGGTACCTTCCCTCAGCCATGGGCCCACCAGGCCCTGAAGCCAGCGGGGTGCAGAGGTCTGGCTGGGCCGTGCTCACAGGCCAGGGTGCTGGCCGGGCAGGGGCTGGATTCACACAGAGGAGGACCCCCCTGCACCCTGCCCTGTGGGTCTCTTGGTTACGGAGTGGTGGGGTGCCCCCTCCTGCCCTGCCCAGCACAGTGGGGAAGGCGGGGTGAGAAGACAGAATCCACGGACTCTGGGGGCCTGGGCCTGGCCTGTCACAGCTCCTTCTTGCAGGAACCTGTGGGTGAATGGGGGCTGAGGTCAGAGGTCACTGCTCCCCACCACCTTCCAGCCCAGCCAGATCTGCCCCCTCAGCCTGCGGCTGCCCCACCCACCCTCTGGCCTTTGGGCACTGCTGGCCCAGCCCCGGGCATCCCAGGTGACCGGGAAGCTCTGCGGTGGGGAGGTGGGCGTGGGGTCCCTGCACTCACACGACCCCAGCTGCTCCTCCAGGAAGGAGATCTGCTCGCTCAGGGAGTCGATGCGGTCCAGCTTCTGGAAGGAGTGGGCCAGGAGGCTGCCGGGGTCCGGGAGCCCGTGCTCCAGGGCCCGCGAGGCCAGGCTGTGCAGAGGGGCCAGCACCAGCTGCAGCTTCTGCGGGGCAAGCAGAGGACCCCCGTGGGAGGCTGCAGTGGCCTGGGCCAGCCCCTCACCCTCGGGTCCACAAGGCTTTACGGAAAACCGCCCTGGCCTGGCCGGCTACGGCTCTGCCGACCCCCAGACCCTGCTCTAGCCGCGCGGCCCTGGACGTCCACCAGAGGGAGCTGCCGTGCTGGGAGAGCCAGAGATGGGTGGCACAGATGGATGTCACCCAGGCCAGCCTGGCCGATGGTCCCCAAGGCCTGGGGTCCCGGGTCAGAGGAGCTGGGAGGGGTGGACTGGAGCTTCTGAAGCGTCACCAGGCCAGTGGCCCCGTGGAAAGGCCGCAGGGGCACTCTGTCCTCGCAAGGACAAAGGTCAGGGGTGGGCTGGACGTGGCTTCAGGCTCTCCATGCGGCCTGAGGGGGTGGGGGCGAGCCCAGCCCCTCCTGTCCCAGGGGTCTCAGTCATCGTTCCGCTGCCCCTGCCTGGCATGGAGCCCAGGCCCAAGGGCCCCCTCAGTGTCAAGGAAGCCTCTTGCCCGGGGTACCCCCACGCACCCCACAACCACCCAAGGTTGAGCCACGCCACAGGAGACAACAGGGGGCTAAGGGCCTCCACAGTCGGGCAGGGCTGGCCTGAGGCCCCCGGGGCCCCAGCCTGAGGCCTCACCTGCTCCAGCACATTCACCCTTGACCGGAGCCTCTGCACTTCCTCCGCCACCTCGCGGTCCACTCCTGGGGAGATCCACGTGCCATGTCAGGGACACCTGGCTCCTCACCCCACAACCAGGCCGGCCTCTTCTCCCAACAGGAACGCCTCCCCACCTCTGCTCCAGGTGTGGGGCACAGCCCCGGAGACTGGGGTTCAAACCCTGGCTGTCGTGGCCTCGACTGTCATGGCGAGGCCCTCCCCCGTTCTGTGCCTGGCTGTCCACCAGGGCCGGCTGGGAGGTCCGGGAGGTGGCATCTCAGCACACCTTGGGACATGGCTCTGGGTGGACACCCCCCGCCCCTGGGTACCGGGGTTCCCACCGTGCTGAGGGTGGTCCGAGCCGAGGTCCGAGCCGCTCTTGGTGCTGGGCTGCCGACGGCGCATTATTACTCACGGTACGAGTTTGAAGTGTCACAGCGCGTACCAAAAGTAATAATGGCCCGTCGCCAGCGGAGATGCGGTGTCTCAGGCTGCTGGGGCGGGGACCCAGATAGGACCCCAGTGGGGGGGTTCTTCCACTCTCTTGGCTGAGATGAGGTGCCCCCAGCAATCCCCCCACAGAGCCCGCGAGAAACCACCACGTATCCTTCGTCTGGGAAGAGCCCGCTTCGGCCCGGGTTCGGGAGCTGGCCCACAGCCCAGGGCTGGTTCCCTCTGGTGCCCCCGCCATGCCCAGCACAGAGCCATGGGGTGAGGCCCACCACCCCTGGGCCCTCCTGGCCCATCCCCTACAGCACAGCAGCCATGGGGTGGGCGACCCGGGAATTTACCTGTTGTGGCGATCGGGTGGGGGACCCTGGGGGTCCCTCTCTTGGGCAGGCAGATCACCCCGTCCGCAGATGGGCTGTGCCCCTCCCAGCACTGGCACCAGTAACTCCCCGCCGTGTTGACACAGTGCTGGGGACAGCCGCCCCCTCCAGCACTGCACTCATCCACGTCTGTGGGAAGAGGGGTGTCAGGCAGGGGCAGCGCCCACACCAAGCCCCTTCAAGACCCATCCGTTAGAGGGCCACGCAGGACGTGCAGGGAGGTGCCCAGAGGACCCTCCCCCTCTGGGAGGGGGACCCAGCCTCACCTGTCTGGCAGGTGTCGCCCCGCCATCCTGCAGGGCAGTGGCAGCGGCCTGGCTGGACACAGCTCCCTCCGTTCTGACATGGAGGCTGGCATACTGCTGTGGGTGGGGGAGGCCTGTCACCAACTCAGGAGGGTCCCCAGGGCCCTGCAGGGGTGGCAGCCAGGAAAGGGTGCCATGCAGCCAGGAGACACTCCGCTCAGGTTTTGCAAGAAGAGCTGAAGGTGCTCTGCCGGGGTCTGGAGAGCGGGGTGGACTCTTGCCTAACCGGGCGACTGTTTTAACTATCGCTAGTGCTGTGGGCCCCCGGGCAGCCCTGCGGCCCTCACCTGCTCCACAGGCTCCGGGGAGCCCGCTGGTCCTCTTCCAGCCGGGGCAGCAGGCGTAGCGAGGCCTGGCGGGGGCTGGCCCAGGGCTGCGGCGGTAGGCGGTCCTGTAGATGGTCCTGTCGGGGGTGGGGGGGCGTGGCAGCTCAGAAGGGCCTGACCTCTCCGGGGGGGCCTCAGTAGGTGCCACCTGGCCCAGGCCAGGCTTTCTCCAGACACCCGAGTGAGGCGCCCCCTGCCTCCCTGTCCACCCACCTTCCAGGCTGGCTTGGTCTCCATGTCCTCCAGAAGCCACATGGAGCCATTTCCCCCAGAGTGGACAAGATCACCCAGGGGTGCCACCAGAGGTCCTCTCCCCCAGGGAGAGCACCTCGGGGTCACTGCACAAGCCATCTCCCCCCACCCCGCGCTGCGGTGTCAAGCAGGACCCCGAGGCTTGGTGGGGAGCTTCCCCGGCTGTGTCCCCAGACGTGCCACCCTGGTCAAGCCTCCCAGCCTAGGGGCAAGGGATCTAGGTCCCGAGGGGAAGGGGCTCGCCACATCCCGCAGCGGGTCATCAGCAGAAGCAGGCTGGTCTCCCCATTCTTCACCCTGCCGTTCCCTCCTGGGGTGCTGGGCCCTGGATGCTGGGGGTGCCCTCCTGGACCAGCGCTGCTCAGACCACCGTTTGGGAGCCGCCGGACCCTCTGAAACCTGGACTCCTGGGCTCTCCCCCGAGCAGGCAGCTGGGGGCTTTACCAGCCCCTCCCCGCCTGCCCATGCGGCACCCGCCCCAGTGGCTGGGGGAAGAGTGGCTCAGCTGCCAAGCACAGGGAACAATGGCTCGCCCCATGGTGGCCCTGGGCCCCACCCTCACTGCCCCTGGCCCCTACCTTCTCAGCAGGGGGTGGGGCGTGTCCCACCAGGGACAGCTTCAAAAACCTTAGAGAAAATAAAATCTTTTGAAGCCACATCCCCACAGCTGAGAACCGGAGACACAGGCCCCTCACGCTGGCACAGTTAGGACGACAGGACATCCTGGGGGCGGGGGGAGGGAGAGTCTGCACCTGTGACCATCAGGGGCTGTCATGGGGAGAGGGGTGCCCACTGGAGCCCCAAGGGCAGGACCAGGACAACTGAGGCAGGTTTCGGGGAGGCAGGCCTCACACCAAGTGGATTAGAACTCGTAGCCAGTAATGCCGGGGGTGGGGGTGAGTGCCCCGAAAGTGGAGGGGAGCAGATGCACTGGATGCCCTGGGAGGAAGCGGGGCAGGGACTGATGGTTGAGGTGACTACATAACATCCAGAGACCAGGACTGGCCAAGTTAAAACAGGATCAGTCTCTGCCACCCCCTGGACACGGCTGCAAGGAGTCCTCTTACCCACCGGGCCTCCGTTTCTCCGAAGGCCCGAGCCCCAGGGTGCATGTGCAGCAGACAGAGCCCTGCGGTGGTGGGGGCTCACCGGTAGGTGCTGCAGGCTCGGTGTCCATCGCAGGTGGTGAGGAAGGGCTGGTACACGCGCTGCACGAAGGACTCGGACACGGGGCCCCTGGGAACCCTGATGGCACACACCCTGCGGCTGTGGAGGTGTGGGTGGCCAGTGAGTCAGCAGGGGCTCCCAGAGCCAGGACCCTTCCAGCCCGGAACCCAAGGGAGCCGAGAGCCTGGGAGGGGGGCTTCCCAGTGTCACTGTGGGAAGGACCCTCAGCAGGAGCCGCAGCTCCCCCAAGTACTGAGGGCCGCCCTGGGGAGGGACTGAGGGCTCCTGGCCGCCCACTCCCTCTGCCAGGCTCACCCAGGCCGGTAGACATGCTCGGTGCCGCCCACTGCCAGCACCAGGAACCACACCAGAAGCAGCTCCAGGGAGCCCCACATGGCCCGTGTCTCTGGGTGGGACGGCCGCCTCCTCAGGGTGCCCTGGAGCACAAGGCACGACCCTGTAAGTCCCTCTGCAGATCCCTGCTCAAGCCCATACGCCAATGGAGATTGTCCCTTTGACAGTGACACCTGCCCAGCTCAGCCGCTTTGCAGGAGAGCCCCCACGGTGGACGCCAGCTCTCCCCTCCCCCAGCCCGCCTCCACATGTAAGGCCGGCCCCTCGCCAGCCACAAACAGCCCGCGCAGGGACCACAGAAGGACAAGATGTCCGGGCGGAGAACGGAAGCTGGTGCCCTTGCTTGGGGCGAGAGGCATCTACACCCTCTTGGGCTTGGTCTGGGCGAACCCTGCAGGCATCTGCAGCTCCGGGAAAGCTCACTTGAGAAGGTGGGGGCCCAGGGCGAGCATCTGGACCAATTCTCCCTCTGCTGGCTGGGTGCAGTGGCCTCCCTGTCACAGCAGGGCAAGGGCACACTTGCACCCCCAAGTCACACCACAAATGGGGTGTCAGTGGGCAGAACTGGAGCCCAGCCCAGCCGGCTTGACCTTTCTTGCCTTCAGTGTCCTCAAATGCCAAACGGGGAGCCAGCCATGGGGGCGGCATGGGAGCCCATCAGGGGTGCGGGCACTGGGCATGCAGGAGCCATTATGGTCCTGCTCAGAGTGGGACGGGGCCTGGATTGCGGAGGGGGTCACTCCCACACGGGGACGACACTGGTCTGCAATATCATGCAGACGGCCTCCCCGGCTCCCCGGACAGCGGCCCCACTGGGCGCCCAGTTGGCGGGGGGACCAGAGCAGCCCCACACATGCCAGTGGAGCTGATTGCCCGCCCTCTCCTGGTGTGACAGGAGTCAGGGAGGTCGCGGGAAGATTCCTGGGAATGTGAGAAACCCCAGCCCAGAATTAATGGTGCACAACATGCCAAGGGGACTGGAGGGGGGCGGGTCTGTGCAGTCTGCGGGGCGCTGCTGTCCCTATGAGCAGCCGGTCTGGGGAGCTCCAAGGGGACCTCCTCGCTCCCACTTGAGGCCCCCAAGGGGCTGGGTTTCCCCAGTCCTGCAGGGCCCCCAGCAGGAAAGGGCACAGGAAGAAGCTGAACTTGTGCGTGTGTGTGTGTGTGTGTGTGTGTGCAGGGGTGTGGAGTCAGGATAAGGTCGCCCCCTTCTCAGGAACTCAGTTTCCTCAAAGACACCACTAGGGTCTTGGGGGACCCTCCTCCAGCTCTGAGGGTCAGTCCCATAAACAGTGACCACCGTGAGCAATTACTAAGCCCTGCAAGCCCAACCCCGAGGCAAGAGTGATACCATGCCCGGTCCACAGGGTCGCTCCGCTGGCACTTCAGCCCGCGCTCCTGCCCACTGCACCACACAGCCCCAGGCAGGGCAGGAAGGCAGCTGGAAGAGGGTCCTTCCTGCACCCCCTGTTCTCTGCTGGAGGCCCGAGGAGTAGGGCGGGGGGCAGCCGAGCAGGCAGAGGCTGCAGTGGGCAGCTGAGGTGTTGGGACTTAGTTTGGGGCAGCAGGGGTGTTTCTCAGCAGTTTCTGGACAGGCGCAGGTCCTGCCAGTCACAGCCAGCTTGGGAAGATGAACTTTGGGGGGGGACCCTGGGGGGAGCACACTGTTGTGGGGAGGGCCTGGCAGTCCAGGCAAGAGTTGAAATGGTGGGAACAGGGGGCACTGGGGAGTAGGCCCTGGGAAGGCTGGGCTGGCAGGCTCAGGCTGGGCTGGTGGGGGCATGTCAGGGTTCCAAGGACCCATCACGCAGGTGTCACTGCCGCCCCACAAACACCCATCGCAGCACCTCCCCTACCTACTGAAAGCCGTGTAGAAAGAGAATAGTGCTTTAAGAAGGGAGAGACTCGATTTTTGAAAGTCATGCTTTTCCCCTAGGCTGGAGGAAGCCGATGGCGCTGCCCAGCCTGTGCTGGGCTGGCAGAATCTCATTTCCCTTTGGTGTCACAGCCCTGCTGGGGCCAGGGAGCCAGGGTGGGGGCGGCCGCGTCGCCTCCAGGTTGATAAGCAATAACGTCCCGTCCCCTCACGCGCCCTGGGTGTCAGCATGAACCCTGCCCACCACCTTCCCTCCCTCCTGCCCCGCGCTGCCTCCCCGCAGCCGCCACCCGGAGAGGCTGGGTCCGCAGAGGGAGGGGCCTGACTCCACCGCGGGGCGATGGCCCTGGGTCCCCCTTCCACCGGGAGGGGTGCTCTGGACGTTAGGACCCATGCGGGGGGCGGAGAGAGACGACAAAAGTGACTCACTGGGGACATGCCTTCTCCACAGCCCACCCCACGCCTCCCCTTCCCCTGCACCGCGGGCTCCATGGGGGGTGGGAGTGAGGGTGGAGTGTGACACCCCCCAGCAGACGGCCAGGCTGGACTGCCCTGCCGGGTCCGGGGCCCTGGGTCTGGCCCTGGGGGACCCGCAGGGCCCAGATGGGGGCGTGAGGCGCTGCGGCGCCCCCCACCCGACCCCCCGCGCGGCCCGGCCCAGGTCATCCGTCACCAGCAGGGGGCGTCCTTTCCCAAGGCCGCTGGGCCCATTCTCCGGACCCAGCCGCCGACTGCGGGGCCAGGGCTGGGGGTCGGGTCCCCGCGCGGCAGCGCCCGGCGCCCCCGGCCCGCTCACCTCTCGGCTCCCCGCGATCGCTCCGCGTCGCCCCCCAGC